TTCCCGGCCTGACCCGGCGGCCGCGCATCCCCGACCTCCCGCAGCTGCGGCCCCTGGAACAACGGGCCCCTTGAGTCATCGGAGAGAAACTTCGCCTTCATCGGCGTGGGAGCGCGCAGCCCAGTGGGGCTCAGCGGTGCCCTGCACCCGGCAAGCAGCTTGGCCATCCCTTGCCCGGCCGTCGAGCTCCGGAGCGTGATCCTGAGCATCTCCCTCCATCCAGACGTGGACCTCTTTGAACCCCTGTCTGCTGGTCACCGTGGGTTAAGGCCGTTGCTTGCGTAATTAAAAGTGCTATGGAAGTAGGCCCTAGGAAAACTCCTCTCTGTCTTTTTGCTCGCACCATTGTGTCCATTACCAGGCTAGGCATGGATGACTGGTGGGTTACTTCTTCAGGAAATCTCGGTTTAAGGGCATTTGTCTCAAAGCAGTGTGTGCTCATAGCTGGTGTGGTCGTAATTACTGTCACGAGCTATTTTTATTGGTTTTTTTCCTAGGTAAAACGTATGTTTCGGTCATTTACCCTCACTGTCATTTCTCTTTCTGACTTGGTCTTATTAGAAAGACAGTATTTAATGGGTAGATTCCTTTTAGCCAATATTTCATATTTTTCTGACTGATCAGTGATAAGCGTGATAGAAAAATAAAACCTGGGTGAGAACAGAGTAGCAGAGTTGGGGTTGTTCAGCCTGGAGAAGAGAAGGCTCCAGGGAGACCTCCTTGTGGCTTTTCAGTATATAAAGGGACTCCTAAGAAAGATGGAGAGAGACTTTTTACCAGGGCCTGTGGTGACAGGACAAAGGGTAAGGGTTTTAAACTGAAAGAGGGTAGGTTTAGACTGGACATAAGGAAGAAACTTTTTATGATGAGAGTGGTGAGATGCCCAGAGAAGTCGTGGATGCCCCATCATTGGAAGTGTCCAAGGTCAGGTTGGATGGGGCTTTGGGCAACTTGATCTAGTGGAAAATGTCTCTGCTGGGGTGGGGGGCATGGATTAGATGGGCTTTAAAGGTCCCTTCCAGCCCAGACTATTCTGTGATCCTATGATGGTTTCAGCAACCATCTTTATTTAAAACAAAAAATGCTCCGCAATGTTGAATGTACGTTCTCCCAGCCAAAAAAAAAATAGCTTTGTACACCACATTCATGATCTGAAGAGCCTCTTCTGAGGATGAGAGGGGGTGCAGAAGATGCTGCAGGCGACGTGGGTGGCACAAGCCACCAGTGCCTGTGACAATTCCCGTGATGGCATGCGGTGCCACGCTGCGGGACCTGCCCGGTGGCACTGCTGCGGAGGTGGCTTCTGGGAAGGTCCCCTGGCTCTCGAGGGACACGGCGGAGCTGAGCTGCTGCGTGGGGGGCTCGGGAGGAGCCCGGTGACGGGAACAGGGCAGGGGGTCGGTCCCCATTTCGGTGCTTTCCAGCGTCAGCTTTGTGGAAGCAGCAACGGAGGGCTGGGACCATGCCGATGGCTCTCGCTGCATCCATGGTGAGAGGAGGAGGAGGAGGAAGGTCCGTCTGGGTGCAGGGGCTGGGCGATGTGCTTTGGTAGCCGTAATCTGAGGTTGTGTTTTATTTGCCTTTTTTTTTAATCTGAAATTTCACATTGCTGTTACCGCTGACCAAAGCATGCTTAGAGCCCCGTTACTCGAGCTTTGTGCATAGCAAGGTTATTTTGATTAACTGTCTGGGAAAATAAACATACCGTGTCAGTCTCTCCTGTTTCCTCTTCTGAGACTAAACTGAAATGGTTTTGTTCAGATTGTGAAAAGCTTTCAAGTCTCTTAAGAAATTTTTATTGTTTCACTGAAAATGACAAAAGCCATCAATCAAAATGAGAAATCAGGGTGTTTCATCCTTTCCAAATCCTGGATTTTCCAGGTGAAACTCTTCTCTGAATTACTCCCAGCCCACTAGTAGTTGTGTTTCTTTACAGCGTGGGTGGGAGGGTGGCATGCGAGGACCCAGCTTAGACCTGGCAGGGAAGAATACCACCCCGGTGTATTTATCACTGATCTCCATGTCAGTGCCCAGGTGTGGAGGAGGAGGTGGCGTGGGGTGAGCTTAATGTGCTGGAGCTTTGCAAAACTGTGGATATTGTGTTGAAATTGTATTTGCAGTAGCAGGGAAAGGAAACCTGTTTGTTTTGACACGATTAGTGTTGTGCCATTACAAAATCTTCTCGAGTGCTTTGATTTAGTCCTGTTTTGTAAAGCTCGCATAAGAGCGCCAAGTAATAACAGCATTCAAAAGCAGGGCTGACAATCTCAGTAAAGTTTTAACCTGAATTATTATGCAATTTGTTCCTTCAATTCATTCCACAATGTTTCAACTTGATTTAAATAAGTAGTTTGAAAAAACCCTTCGCCTTTTGCTCATCCCGTGCTGTGCTTGGTTGGGTAGGTCCTGGCAGTGCCGTTGGGAGCATCCCGTGCTCCGGTTCTGGGTCAGCGTGGTGGGATGTGGGAGGGGAGGCGAGATGGGCGGAGGGGAGCTGTGCCCCTTGTTCCCTCCGTTTGCTAAGGCTTGTTGGAAGTGAGAGCCTCCGGTTTTCCATCCAACGCCGTGCCTGCTCCTTCCCTAGGTAAATGAGTGCCAGCTTTTACTTGTCCTTGCTTTTTTAGGTAGTTTTACAAGTATAACTGTGCGCGTGGTGAGGCTGTGAGGAGCTGGTCCCAGGCCATCCCGCGGCATTTCGGGGTCCTTTCGGACACGACATCATTGCAATGACAAAACGTCGGGAATCGCGGTCAACGCAGACCTGCCTGCGCACAGGCGGAAAGAAATAGCAACAGCTTGGGAATTTGGGAAACCCTTTGGTATCCCAAATCCCGGTCATGAGACTGCATTGGGACTTGGTGGAATAAAGCAAGCTGCAAATGGAAGAGCCAGCGGCTGCTCGTTAGGAAGCGGGAATGGGATGCTCTGAGGCTGGGAGAGTGTGTGCATGGGAAATAGCTTGGGAATAGGCATTTGTGAGCGGAGGGATGCACCCCCCCGCACCCTGATGGGTGGGAGAGGGGAGGCGACAGCCCCAGGGCACGTCAAAAGCACAGAGACCTTCAGTGATTATTACTTTTGATAGGGACTTTTATGGCCTGTCGCTTAACGAGCCACCCTTTTAACTAGCAATTCACGGAAGGACTTTATTCTTCTCTGCTATTTCAAAGATGCTTTTGATGCCACAGGTTTTGTTCTCAGAACAATAACGCGCTTGATAACCTTTGGTGCTGCTTTTTTTGAAGCCTCTTCGTTCTCATCTTAGGCTGTATCTGGCTTGTGTGTGCATTTGTGGCTTAAATAACTGCGATCAGGTTTCTGCAGCTTAAAGAAAACCCCATCCTGGTCAGAGCAGCCCTGGTTGTTGGCGGTGCAGTAACACGCAGAACAAGGGTTTTGGTTTATTTTTTCATCTTTCATGAAATTCCTTATTTAGGAAGTGGAAATACTGGGGGAAATGCCACTGGCAATGAGCTGGGTAGCTGGGAGGACTGGTGAAGCTTCTAAATCAAAATTCCAGTTTCTGGGTAGGGATGTTGATTTAATAACTGTCAAAGAGTTTTTAATGCAGCAACTATTTTTTTCATGAATAAGAGGTTGCTACATAACATTTTTGCCTCTCGGCAAAAATCATGTTATAAAGATGTACTTGCTCTAGGTTTAAAGTGTTAATTTATGTGGTATACTGAATTGGATTTAAAGGTCCCTGAAGACCTTTGAATCTCAGTAGCTAATGAGGCTTGCAGAAGAGAGCCTGAGAGAGGAAAAACTTACTGGCAGTGAGTAATACTGGTGAAAGAGCTCCAGGATTGAGCAAGTTTTGCAGAGAAGAATTAGAAATGATCGCATTGGCATTTGGGGCATTTGATTATTTCCAGCTATAGATCTCTCCTGATGCCGCCTGCGTCCCTGCCCCATGCTTCTCCCTGCCACAACCCTTCAAGTTGAGTTTTTCCAAATCCTAGACTGCATCCAAGGGGACACAGCTCCTTGCGGTTCCCCTTGGGATGAGCTGGGTGTCCATGAGCAGCCATCTCGTGTCTCCCCCAGGGCTCAGCAGAGCTGTTCCCAATGGAAAGGATTTGGCGATCAGGCTCCAATCTCTCTGCTCAGCTCAGCCATCCTTGCCAAAGATGCTTACACTTGTCCTTCTTCTTCCAGCTGGCCTTGCTGAACTTCTTTCACCCTGAAGAAAAGCTGCACGTTGGAGAAGAAGGTAGACGCGTCCGTCGAAATAAACGGAGTAAAGGCAGTGAAGGGCCAGACGGTGAGTCCCGCTTTGTTCCTTGCTGCTGCGCTTCTCGTCTTTGCACAGGCGAGCAGAAGACTGGCAGGTTTTTTTCAGGTCATGGTTATGATCATGGTACAGAGTTCTGTATGTGGGGGGGAAAAAAAAGTGGCATCTTGTGGCTTTTAATTTTGATTGCCTTCCAGATGAGGAATTCCAGTAGTTCTGATTTCTGCAACTGTAGGTCTAGTCGTTTTGTGCAAATTAATGCTGCTTAGTAGCTTCATCCTTGACTCTTCTTCTTCAATACTGAGGCTCTGTACTCATTTAAGGCTATAATTTGTACTTATATACCTATATTTGTTGTTCCATACACCTGTGTGTGCTTAAAATCATCAAGTAGCTATTCGTAGTCTAACAAACAGCTTGAACATCTGCATCACAAAATGGTAACTGGGTTCTAACGGGGTTTCGCAGTGCAGCGGAGGGTCTCCGGTGAGTTCGAAGCCCATGTGAAGGGAAGTCAGAGTTGTACAGAGCTTGTATTAAGAGAGCGTGGAGTTACAAAAAAAAATCACAATTATGTATCTGTGATTTGATAAATATAAAACAAGTATGTGTGATACAAACCCCAGGGGCACCGGGCTTCCTTGGTGGCCCTGGTGCTGAGTGGTAGCCCAAGGCCTCCCTGGTGTGGCAGTGCTGTCTGTCCTCACGGGCTGTGGGGCGGCAGCGGCTCCTTCCCTTCGCCGTCACCGTCCCTTGGCGAGAGTGTCGTCCCCCACGTGTCCTGCTCTGCTACGCTCGGATGCCAAAGCCCTTCTCTTGTATCTGGTCTCTGCTTCAGACCTTCTGGTTGGTTTCGGACTTGGTGTCCGACAACGTGCCTCCCCTACATGACGGTCCCACTGCCCGCTCCGTGATGGGATGGGCCATACCATGATCAGTGCGCCTTATGCGAGCACTAAATATTGCAACTTGGTGCTGTCTGATAGGGGGTTGTCTTAAAGCATTTTAATCTTTAATCTGGGAAGTTCTGGGAGACGGAGGCCATTCCAGATGGCTGCAAAGGCGCTGAGGATGCGGCGGTGGGAGCTGGGTGGGTGGGTTATGGCTTTGCAGGATGAGGGACTGCAGCGACTTGCTGTGGGTAGGGTCTGGGAGATACGGCCAGAACTAGATAAAGCCTTCTGCCTGAAAGACTGGGAAAGGGCAGCCTGGCAGCCCTCCCTGCCGCATGAGACACAGCAGGGGAAAGCGCGGTTTTCTGGGGTTTTGAAGCCGCTCACGCAGCAGAGTCACGGCAGCCAAGAGAGCTGTAGGGAAGGGACGGGGAGGCAGGCGACAAGGAGCACGTCCCTGGAGCGGGTCATGGCGTGCCACCCCTCGGACGTGGTGGTGATTCCCAGGGGATCCCCAGGAGCTGCGCTCTGCGTGCCGAACGGCTGGCTCTTCACGCGGCAGGGGTCCTCTAAAGCCCCTGGACATCTGAAGGGTGCTTTAAAATGGAAAACGAACCCTGCCAAAATTATATCTCATGCTTGAGGTCATGTAATGTCACCTTTTTTGTTCTTCTAAATCCTTAGGTAGAGCATAACTTGGGGTAAGTACTGCAACGTCTTTATTGCACCAAAAATGCTCTCAACACTTCTTGAGAACTTAAGCAATAAATACCCAAATAATTAAAACTAACTTCACCTTCAGTCCCTTCCCCCAGCTTGAATCCTGCCTGATTTCAGCATGAGGAATTATATTTCCAGTGCTGTCTGTTCATGATCGCCCAGCTACCCTGAGACGTAAGGAGGCTTCCCGAATCGAGCTCCTGGAAGAGTTCCCACGCTTTCCTACTGCAGAAAAGCACAACTCCGTTTCTGTACGGAGAGGAGAAGGGGACTGGATGCCAGGGAAAGCAAGGAAAAAAATAACAGAGTAGTGGTCTGTGCGTCGCTTGGTGCCTGCGATGCCCAAGTCCTGACTGCGGTGCAGACCTCTTGGCTAGGATTACTTTTGCTCTCCAGCAACCTGGCTCCATGAGTTTCCCATCTCCCCCGAAGCCTTCACAGTTTCACAGTGGAAAAGTGTTTCCCTGTGGCTTTGCTCCAAGAAAGAGCTTCGTGAAACTCCCCGGATTCCTCCTCCCTGAAACGCTGACAAGTATGATGCATTTGGGACAGACTCCCTGAGTGATTCCAGCTAAATGTGGTCCATCATCTTTAGAGCCGGTGTCACTCGGATGCTCAGATGGCTCAGGCAGGATCCAAGTCCTTTTGCACCGACTCCTTGAAATCTATTCCAGCGTCTTCACAAGTCGCTTGTATCAGTAGCAAGTTCCCACTGTGTGCGAGCGGTGCAAGCGGAGTGCTGCGGGCAGATGTTGGGGGAACGAGCCTGGTCCGTCAGGCCGCCTCAGCGCTGCATTTTTCTTGCCAGATGTGCAGAGAATCGCTGCGCGGTGCCAAATAGATGCTGAAAGTCGGTGGGCTAACGCGGGCTTTCCTCGTCGCCCTTGTGCCTGGGTGAAAACATGTCGTACTTTTATATCTTGCAGTCCTTTCCCAGGTCTCCTTCACGTTCCCTGGATGCCTCAGAGCTGAGTCACTCCAGAACCGTAGCACACTTCCCCCAGTTATATATGGCTTTTTGTAAATTAGGGGGTTTGACCCCATAGGGTGATGAGGATCGTTTTCCCAGTGACATTAGCAAGGTGGCTTGTGTTGGCACGCAGTTACTTAGTGTTTGGCCATCCCAGTTTTACTAGGTAGAGCGGTATTTAACAAGTGTAAGCTGTCAGGGTAGGGATTGACCTTGTAACAACCGTAAAATCAATAAATAAACAGAATAGCTTTCTTGTGTAACTTGTGCTGTTTGTTTTAGACCTACATGAAGGAATCTTTTTAGAGAAGGGCAATGAATCATTAAAAAAAAAAAAAAAAAAAATCAAGTCACGGTACTGATAACACCGTTTTCTTCGTGAGTTTTGCAAAGGGAAAGTTGATCACATCTTTGATCTCCAAAGAGCCTCCAGAAGATAAAAGTGGATGAACTATAAATTCCCAGGAGGAAGGAGATGTGCTTTCCACTTGAGGCCTCGCTAATATTTATCTGGAATTAATTTTATGAACTTTCAAGTCCTTTCACACATGTAGTGAAAGACCAAAGTGATATGAGTGTGGAAGCCCTGGCTGGAGGAAGGCTGCTCTGTCCTCTCCATGGCTGTTTGAGTCCTGCTCATCCTGGTACCAACACCGGGTCGGCTTCGATGATTTATAAATGTCAAAGATAACACGGTTCCGTTCCTAAAAGTTTGTTTCTTTTAGGAAAATTTGCTTTTGAGTCTTTTGCTGTGAAAAAGGTGGTTTTGAGACAGGTCAGAGCTGGTCCCACGGGGCGGGAGGAGGGTGACGGCCATGGCCAAGCACGGAGCCACAGGGATGGGACATGGGAGGCCACAAGCAGCAAAGCTGCTTCGGTGCCGCTTTGTTGCTTGCTGAAAAACCCCAAGAAAAAATTGTGTGCAATAGTCCAAAGCTATCGGTTGGATCCCGTCACTTCCAAACATTACTCCAGTATTTCAAGGGCTCCTTTGAGGACTCCAGCTTCAGTCCTCCAGCCCGCTTGTCATGTTTTATGATCGTGTTTGCTTAATTTTTGTTTGTGTCCCTCCACGCACAGCGCCCTGGAACCAATTAAAGAAGCCGAGGTCGTGTCCCAGGCCGAGGTGCCAGCCTGGCTCCCTCTCTGCTGGCCATCGGTCCAGCCTTGTGCTGGTGTGGTCACCCTGCCGCGGGCAGAGGGGGTTAAGGGGAGGCTGGTCCTGTCCCTCCTGAGGAGCGCAGATCATTTTTCAAGCCAGCTCCCTGTCCCTGCCACCAAACCCAGCATTTGCACAGCTTTAAATATTGCCACTATTTTTTTTCTGCTCGTCAAGGACCAGGATTGTCCCCTTTACAGCTCCGTTTTACGGTGTTCTTTCTACTTTGCGTTACCAGCTCCACCTGTCACTTAATTTGCTTTAGTTCACTAAAACTTGACCTTCTCCAGTGTCTCTCTTTTATTTTTCTCTTTTTCCCCTCCTTCCTTTTTGTCTTGGTGTATTTATGCTGCTGTGGAACCGCTGTTGCTCCCAGATCAACAAATCATTCTGGAGCTGGTAATTAGCAACAGTTGTGCTAAAAGGAACCATCAAGAATGTTAAATTAGTCCACTTTTAAATAAACTGTGTATGAAATGTTAGATCTCTATTCCCAGAGCACCAGTAAAAATGCTGCTGACTCTTTGCTAACAAAGCCAAAATATGGGAGTAGCATGGTTGTAACTACAGAGACAATTCTGTGCTCTTGAGGTTATAAATAATGACAGAGCATTTACAAAGCAGATGTCAATAGGACTCTTTAAAAAACATTGTTTTAAAAAAAAAAACCAACTAGTTTCTTTTTCTCCTACTTTCATCTCTGTTCCCAGTTAGATCCCTGCCGTGCTGCTTTCCTGGTTTGTTTGGTTTTTGCTTTTTGGTTTGGGGTTTTTTTTTTTCCCTTCCTAGATTTTTTCATATTGAGCTTGGTGAGAAACATAAGTGATTGTTACCCATTCTTTGATTTGGAGCATGGCAGCTGGGAAGAGGCTGAGCAGATGGCTGTCCTTAAGCTGACAACAATTTGGTTCCTACTACTTTGGCAGTCCTTGCTGCCGAGGAAAGTCCTTGATGAGAACTCGCGGGTTTCAACGCTGCAAACGGCTTTTGTCGAAATGAAAATTAAATTCAGGGAGAGCAGAAGCGCATCTCCATCCCTGCTTCTACCTGGAGCTTTGGAAATGATGTGTCAGCTACGCGTGTTCAGTGTTTCACCTTGTTGGTATTCATTGGTGGTTTAGGATGGGTTTAGGGTGGGTTTAGGGTGGTTTAGCAGGTAGCTGATGCCAGAGCCTGGCTGGGGGTGCCTGGCTCCCTCTGTGCCCCTGGGCAGCCCCCGCTTACGCAGGTGCCGCGTCTCAGCCGTCCCCGTCCCCCCCTCCTGACCTGGCGGCGCTGACGATGCAAT